TAACTCATCCTATACCTCTTCTAAGGCTATTGTCAGTCAGGATTGGGCATGGGGTTAACAAACCAATCCCCTTTTAAGAACAACCTTGCTAAAGAAAAAGAAAAACACTAACCAGAATAAACAGATCAGTAATTGTTGACATCTGAGCTTTTTTTTGTTTTTTCAATGTTCATCTAAATTTATTCCTAAAAAAAACAACAATATTTTAATCGATTAAGATCTAATCGATTTCTTATATAAAATACAAAAATTGTGTAGTTTGAATTAATCAATAAAGTGAATCATCATCATTATCTGAAAAGGAGTTTTATTGAGATTATAATAAATTAATAGTTGAATTCATGAGTTCAGTAAAAGCAAACCACTATGGAAAACCTGAAAGCACTGGACGGCCGTTTCGTCCTAATATGGTACTCTTCAGCACTGTGTATCCACGATACCACCTAGCGAAATTCGAACCTGGGACCTATCAGTCTCGCGCACGAACGATTCACGTCTAGACTACTGAGCCGGCATCCAACAGTGTTAATGTCTAATTTTAACTAATCCACGAAATTGAGCGACACATCCACTATTGTCATCAGTGAGCTACTATCTTACAACAGACCCAGTTGAACTCGATTGGTCACTGCTTCACACTAGAATTCCATGAAATACCTCTTGGAAAACGTCATTTCGAATAAATTAACTTAATTTAATAGTTGAATTTATGAGTCCATTGAAGCTAGACCACCATGGAGAACATGGAAGAACTGGACGGATTTGCACTGTTGAGGAGTCCCATACTAGGACGAAACGGCCATTCAGTGCTTCCAGGTTTTCCATGATGGTTTAGCTTCAATTAACTCATGAATTCAACTATAAAAGAATTACTGTTAACAATAATTGCTAGTCTCTTCAATATTTAGTTGATCAACAGTGATGAACTTATTAAACTACGACCGATTACTCACCAAATTCAGGATTTGTAATATGGTAGTTAAAGATCTTGTATGGAAATACAAATACCATAATTACTCATTGCATTAAGACTAACCATAATTATCTTAATTAACACGATTGGTAGAAGTGCACTTTAACTGTCTATTTAGTGTTGTTTTTTCGCATTTTTTATCCTTGGTTAAGTCGGTATATTTTACTTGATTATAAGAGTTCTATTTATTCTAATAACCATAGTAACAATTTATATAGATACATGAAATGTTCAGACAATCTGGGAGACTGTGAAGAATAATCGAAATGTGGAGATTAAACTTGACAGTGCTCGAAATCAGCGAAATATATTGGACTCCAGTTGGACAGAAAAGGTTAGATACTAGAGAAATGCGGCTGTACTCCAGTCATGGAGAGCTAAATGCTCCACACACTCACTGAGTTGCTTTGATGCTAGCCAATGAAGTACAAAGTGCACTTATAGGATAAGAATCTCAAGAATCCAAGATCATCAAAAGACCATTCAAAACAAAGGAAGGAATCACGATTAATGTTATCCAATTTTGTACACCCAAAAGTAATAGCAAAGACGACGATATAGATCGAGTTTATGAGATTCTGCAATCGATCATAGAGAAGTGCTCAGGAAAGGAACTGTCAATCCTAATTAGAGATCTAAACGCCAAAGTCGATATGGACAACACCGGGTAGAAAGGTAACATGCAACGACATGGACTGACTGGGAGAAAGGAACGATAATTGTGGGAGTTTTGAAAGTTTATGTTCTTTTAGCACAATATCTCCATACAAACACATATACAAGGCTACATGGGTTTCACCGGACCACACTCCTCCTTCCTCCATCTTTTAATGGTTGGCTGGATTATGAAGACCTCCACATCTGACGGGAAGCACAAAATACAATAAACAGCTCAGATGCAACTAAACGATTTGGACTTCGCAGATAACCTGGCTTTTCTATCCAATATGCATCAACAAGCGCAGGTCAAGACAAATAGTGTAGTAGTAGCCTCTTCACCAGTAGGCCTCAACATACACTAAAAGAAGAGCAAGATCCTCAAGTACAAAACAGGGAACACCGACCCAATCACACTTGATGAAGAAGCTCTGGAAGATGTGGAATGTTTCACGTATCTGTAGAGTATCATCGATGAACAAAGAGGATCCGATACAAACGTAAAGGTAAGGATTGGCAAAACAATTCCTGCATTCCTACAATTGAATAACATATGGAAGTCATAATCTTCAATACGAACGTCAAGACAGTTATATTGTAGGGAACTGAAACTCTGAGAACTACAACAACCATAATCAAAAAGACACAAGTATTTATAAACAATTGTCTATATGAGATACTCAATGTCCGTTGTTGGTCAGATATCATCAACAACAATCTACTGTAGGAGAGAACAAACCAACTTCCAACTCAGGATGGAACTAGAAAATAACTCTCGAGTTGGATAGGACACACACAGAGAAAACTATCAAAGTGAATCACGAGAAAAGCGCTAACTTGGAATACTGAAGGAAAACAAGAAAGAGGAAGACTATAGAACACACTATGTCGGGTATTGGAATCAGACATGAGAAGAATGTATAGTAACTGAAAATAACCGTAAAGGATTATCCATAATAGAATTGGATGAAGAATGTTAGTAAGTTGCCTATTTTCCTCCATGAGAGGTAAGTAAGGCTTAAGTAAGTACTATTTAATAATCTTAATAAAACTTAAACTAACATGATACTCATTATCAGCTTTGGATCATTCAACACAATCATATATATTAAAAGTATCTGTCGAATGATTCTATGAACTAGTTTATATAAAGATGAATGTTCATATGAACTAATTGTCATTGTTATTACTTATTGATAGAAGGTAAACCAATAATGTTTATTCAACAAGATTGATTCCTTTTTTTATACTATTACAAATGATCTCATTCAGGCAAAATACTTTCTAAGAATCCATAAAGAGAATACTTTCAAATGTCTTATAATTAAGTTAATAGGTAGACTATATCATATTGGGGTTGTGGAGATGATTACGTTTTTGATTGAGATCACGAACTGACTGATGTTAGATAATCATTCGATGCTGGCTCAGTGGTCCAGTAGGTTAGGCGTTCGCAATAAGAGACTGAAGGTTCTGGGTTTGAATCCCGCAAGCGGGATCGTGGATGTGCACTGATGAGGAGCAGTCCCACAATAGGGCGAAACAGTCGTTCAATACTTCCAGGTTTTTAATAGTAGTCTAACATCAATCGATTCATGATCTCAATCAAATACTCTATTTCAATTAACTTTCATCGATGTAACTATGAGATTTATAACTATCCTATAAACTAGACGGATATGTGGACTGTGAATGACCATTACTGTTTTAATGAATTTGTTATCAAACAGATAACCCATAATTCTGTTGGGTGGCGTCGAGTCGCGGTTGACTATGATCACAACCACAAGGAAGTTGCGTATCAGATATTAGAAGGCGATTGAAGGTTTTAGCGAGATATATTTGTTGGCGATCTCTTGGTATCGAAAGAATACCGAGATTCTGCTGAAGGAGTACAAGCGGAACTAATGAGCAAACATAAGTTCGCGCAACGTCACAATCAACGGAAGGAAGAATGTCTTCAGTACAGTTAAACAAACAAGTATAGTAAAACAAGCACTGGTACAATTGGTTATAATAATTATTATTTCCAATACACCAATCGTGTTCTCTTGATAAAAGTAGGTCACTACAATTCCTTCTCCGTTTATTTCATAATTGTGATCTAATCTGAAACTTAAACTTTTTCTAATGTAATAAAACTTCAAGGAACTTAATCTATAAAATATCCCATTCTGTGTTTATATTGTTTATGTAGGTTTTCTTCACAAACATATTACTTTAAAACAAATTAGTAGTTATACATATCAGAATGAGTTTTGTGCATATCATAGTAATTTTTATAGTTCAAATGAAGTTAGACCACCATGGAAAATCTCAATGTACTGGACTGCCGTTTCGTTCTAGTGTGGAAATCTTCAGCAGTGCGCATTCACGATCCCGTCTCACGAGATTGGAACCCAGAACATAACGGTCTTGCACGCGAACGCTTAACCGCTGGATTACAACTGAGCCGATCGGTATCTAACGGTGTTAATGTCTAATTTCAACTAATCCACGAAATTGAACCACTATCCACAATTGTCTTCAATGAGTTACTATCCCACAACAGACCCGGTTGAACTCCACTGGTCACTGCTTCTCACTAGAACTCCATGAAATGTCTCTTGAAGCCAGTCACTAGTGAGCATATACAGATTAGTATCAGAAGAGGTTTTTGTGGATATTATAGTAATTTTACAAGTTAAGATCATGAGTTATTAGTTATACATATGTCAACAATTTTCTTATTTATGAGATCCAGCTACCGGAATGAATATTTTGATTATTTTGAAATTAAACTCATGAAGTTAATTCCAAAATTTGACATTGTCATGGTATTGGTCCGTAACCACACGGTCTTTTAACCTTGAACATACAATCACTGAGATGATTCACTTCCAATATATAACACTAATGGAAGTTTAACAATGGTGAACGCGGGAATATTAATCAATAAGATGACATGGTTCAGCTTTTTCAGGCGTGATCATTCTTGTGTAACTTATTACTCCTTCATACTAAATATATTGTTCTTTTTCTTCAGACTAAATTTGTCCCTTAGAAACATGAAAACATCATATTGCTGATTGTTACGATATGACAAGTCAGAATGGACAATAATGTGACTTCTATGTTAAAAATCTTAAAGAGTAAGTTTTCACATCATGATAAATCTACAATTTTAGGACTAAATTTATTATTATAATAGTACTAATACCAAATTAGACCATAATTACACTAAATAATTCATTCACTGTTTTAAACACCCACACTAACATGTAGTTTGTTACAATAATGATCTGGCAAATTCTTTCTTGACTATTGAATATGAAAAGAGAAAAGAGAGAGAGGAAAAAACGAGAAAAGAAAAATGATAAATCCAAAAATACTAATAGTTTTTCATGATACTTTTATTTGTAGTAGTAGTAGTAGTAGTAGTAGTAGTAGTAGTAGTAGTAGTAGTAGTAGTAGTAGTAGTGGCAGTAGTAGTAGTAGTAGTAGTAGTAGTAGTAGTAGTAGTAGTAGTGGTAGTAGTAGTAGTAGTAGTAGTAGTAGTAGTAGTAGTAGTAGTAGTAGTAGTGGCAGTAGTAGTAGTAGTAGTAGTAGTAGTAGTGGTAGTAGTAGTAGTAGTAGTAGTAGTAGTAGTAGTAGTAGTAGTAGTAGTAGTGGCAGTAGTAGTAGTAGTAGTAGTAGTAGTAGTAGTAGTAGTAGTAGTAGTAGTAGTAGTAGTAGTAGTAGTAGTAGTAGTAGTAGTAGTAGTAGTAGTAGTAGTAGTAGTAGTAGTAGTAGTAGTAGTAGTAGTAGTAGTAGTAGTAGTAGTAGTAGTAGTAGTAGTAGTAGTAGTAGTAGTAGTAGTAGTAGTAGTAGTAGTAGTAGTAGTAGTAGTAGTAGTAGTAGTAGTAGTAGTAGTAGTAGTAGTAGTAGTAGTAGTAGTAGTAGTAGTAGTAGTAGTAGTAGTAGTAGTAGTAGTAGTAGTAGTAGTAGTAGTAGTAGTAGTAGTAGTAGTAGTAGTAGTAGTAGTAGTAGTAGTAGTAGTAGTAGTAGTAGTAGTAGTAGTAGTTGTAGTAGTAGTAGTAGTAGTAGTAGTAGTAGTAGTAGTAGTAGTAGTAGTAGTAGTAGTAGTAGTAGTAGTAGTAGTAGTAGTAGTAGTAGTAGTAGTAGTAGTAGTAGTAGTAGTAGTAGTAGTAGTAGTAGTAGTAGTAGTAGTAGTAGTAGTAGTAGTAGTAGTAGTAGTAGTAGTAGTAGTAGTAGTAGTAGTAGTAGTAGTAGTAGTAGTAGTAGTAGTAGTAGTAGTAGTAGTAGTAGTAGTAGTAGTAGTAGTAGTAGTAGTAGTAGTAGTAGTAGTAGTAGTAGTAGTAGTAGTAGTAGTAGTAGTAGTAGTAGTAGTAGTAGTAGTAGTAGTAGTAGTAGTAGTAGTAGTAGTAGTAGTAGTAGTAGTAGTAGTAGTAGTAGTAGTAGTAGTAGTAGTAGTAGTAGTAGTAGTAGTAGTAGTAGTAGTAGTAGTAGTAGTAGTAGTAGTAGTAGTAGTAGTAGTAGTAGTAGTAGTAGTAGTAGTAGTAGTAGTAGTAGTAGTAGTAGTAGTAGTAGTAGTAGTAGTAGTAGTAGTAGTAGTAGTAGTAGTAGTAGTAGTAGTAGTAGTAGTAGTAGTAGTAGTAGTAGTAGTAGTAGTAGTAGTAGTAGTAGTAGTAGTAGTAGTAGTAGTAGTAGTAGTAGTAGTAGTAGTAGTAGTAGTAGTAGTAGTAGTAGTAGTAGTAGTAGTAGTAGTAGTAGTAGTAGTAGTAGTAGTAGTAGTAGTAGTAGTAGTAGTAGTAGTAGTAGTAGTAGTAGTAGTAGTAGTAGTAGTAGTAGTAGTAGTAGTAGTAGTAGTAGTAGTAGTAGTAGTAGTAGTAGTAGTAGTAGTAGTAGTAGTAGTAGTAGTAGTAGTAGTAGTAGTAGTAGTAGTAGTAGTAGTAGTAGTAGTAGTAGTAGTAGTAGTAGTAGTAGTAGTAGTAGTAGTAGTAGTAGTAGTAGTAGTAGTAGTAGTAGTAGTAGTAGTAGTAGTAGTAGTAGTAGTAGTAGTAGTAGTAGTAGTAGTAGTAGTAGTAGTAGTAGTAGTAGTAGTAGTAGTAGTAGTAGTAGTAGTAGTAGTAGTAGTAGTAGTAGTAGTAGTAGTAGTAGTAGTAGTAGTAGTAGTAGTAGTAGTAGTAGTAGTAGTAGTAGTAGTAGTAGTAGTAGTAGTAGTAGTAGTAGTAGTAGTAGTAGTAGTAGTAGTAGTAGTAGTAGTAGTAGTAGTAGTAGTAGTAGTAGTAGTAGTAGTAGTAGTAGTAGTAGTAGTAGTAGTAGTAGTAGTAGTAGTAGTAGTAGTAGTAGTAGTAGTAGTAGTAGTAGTAGTAGTAGTAGTAGTAGTAGTAGTAGTAGTAGTAGTAGTAGTAGTAGTAGTAGTAGTAGTAGTAGTAGTAGTAGTAGTAGTAGTAGTAGTAGTAGTAGTAGTAGTAGTAGTAGTAGTAGTAGTAGTAGTAGTAGTAGTAGTAGTAGTAGTAGTAGTAGTAGTAGTAGTAGTAGTAGTAGTAGTAGTAGTAGTAGTAGTAGTAGTAGTAGTAGTAGTAGTAGTAGTAGTAGTAGTAGTAGTAGTAGTAGTAGTAGTAGTAGTAGTAGTAGTAGTAGTAGTAGTAGTAGTAGTAGTAGTAGTAGTAGTAGTAGTAGTAGTAGTAGTAGTAGTAGTAGTAGTAGTAGTAGTAGTAGTAGTAGTAGTAGTAGTAGTAGTAGTAGTAGTAGTAGTAGTAGTAGTAGTAGTAGTAGTAGTAGTAGTAGTAGTAGTAGTAGTAGTAGTAGTAGTAGTAGTAGTAGTAGTAGTAGTAGTAGTAGTAGTAGTAGTAGTAGTAGTAGTAGTAGTAGTAGTAGTAGTAGTAGTAGTAGTAGTAGTAGTAGTAGTAGTAGTAGTAGTAGTAGTAGTAGTAGTAGTAGTAGTAGTAGTAGTAGTAGTAGTAGTAGTAGTAGTAGTAGTAGTAGTAGTAGTAGTAGTAGTAGTAGTAGTAGTAGTAGTAGTAGTAGTAGTAGTAGTAGTAGTAGTAGTAGTAGTAGTAGTAGTAGTAGTAGTAGTAGTAGTAGTAGTAGTAGTAGTAGTAGTAGTAGTAGTAGTAGTAGTAGTAGTAGTAGTAGTAGTAGTAGTAGTAGTAGTAGTAGTAGTAGTAGTAGTAGTAGTAGTAGTAGTAGTAGTAGTAGTAGTAGTAGTAGTAGTAGTAGTAGTAGTAGTAGTAGTAGTAGTAGTAGTAGTAGTAGTAGTAGTAGTAGTAGTAGTAGTAGTAGTAGTAGTAGTAGTAGTAGTAGTAGTAGTAGTAGTAGTAGTAGTAGTAGTAGTAGTAGTAGTAGTAGTAGTAGTAGTAGTAGTAGTAGTAGTAGTAGTAGTAGTAGTAGTAGTAGTAGTAGTAGTAGTAGTAGTAGTAGTAGTAGTAGTAGTAGTAGTAGTAGTAGTAGTAGTAGTAGTAGTAGTAGTAGTAGTAGTAGTAGTAGTAGTAGTAGTAGTAGTAGTAGTAGTAGTAGTAGTAGTAGTAGTAGTAGTAGTAGTAGTAGTAGTAGTAGTAGTAGTAGTAGTAGTAGTAGTAGTAGTAGTAGTAGTAGTAGTAGTAGTAGTAGTAGTAGTAGTAGTAGTAGTAGTAGTAGTAGTAGTAGTAGTAGTAGTAGTAGTAGTAGTAGTAGTAGTAGTAGTAGTAGTAGTAGTAGTAGTAGTAGTAGTAGTAGTAGTAGTAGTAGTAGTAGTAGTAGTAGTAGTAGTAGTAGTAGTAGTAGTAGTAGTAGTAGTAGTAGTAGTAGTAGTAGTAGTAGTAGTAGTAGTAGTAGTAGTAGTAGTAGTAGTAGTAGTAGTAGTAGTAGTAGTAGTAGTAGTAGTAGTAGTAGTAGTAGTAGTAGTAGTAGTAGTAGTAGTAGTAGTAGTAGTAGTAGTAGTAGTAGTAGTAGTAGTAGTAGTAGTAGTAGTAGTAGTAGTAGTAGTAGTAGTAGTAGTAGTAGTAGTAGTAGTAGTAGTAGTAGTAGTAGTAGTAGTAGTAGTAGTAGTAGTAGTAGTAGTAGTAGTAGTAGTAGTAGTAGTAGTAGTAGTAGTAGTAGTAGTAGTAGTAGTAGTAGTAGTAGTAGTAGTAGTAGTAGTAGTAGTAGTAGTAGTAGTAGTAGTAGTAGTAGTAGTAGTAGTAGTAGTAGTAGTAGTAGTAGTAGTAGTAGTAGTAGTAGTAGTAGTAGTAGTAGTAGTAGTAGTAGTAGTAGTAGTAGTAGTAGTAGTAGTAGTAGTAGTAGTAGTAGTAGTAGTAGTAGTAGTAGTAGTAGTAGTAGTAGTAGTAGTAGTAGTAGTAGTAGTAGTAGTAGTAGTAGTAGTAGTAGTAGTAGTAGTAGTAGTAGTAGTAGTAGTAGTAGTAGTAGTAGTAGTAGTAGTAGTAGTAGTAGTAGTAGTAGTAGTAGTAGTAGTAGTAGTAGTAGTAGTAGTAGTAGTAGTAGTAGTAGTAGTAGTAGTAGTAGTAGTAGTAGTAGTAGTAGTAGTAGTAGTAGTAGTAGTAGTAGTAGTAGTAGTAGTAGTAGTAGTAGTAGTAGTAGTAGTAGTAGTAGTAGTAGTAGTAGTAGTAGTAGTAGTAGGGATCAAGTTAACTTTATGAAATAGAAGGATAGTTTCAGTTCACTACAAATAATGTGTGAAATTACACGTTAGTATGTATGTAAAACAAAGTACAATATAAGTAAATGGGCATGATTGAAGAAGAAAACAAAAAAAAAGACAAAACGGCAATCATTTCAACTGTATGTAAATACTATTTGATGCACAAATCTATGATTATCATTACAATCCTCTATCATTAAAACATTCACACCAAATGTTCATTTTAACAAATAGAATGATTTATTTTTACATTCATCAAATGATGAAATGTTGGGAACTTAAATCTCTGAAACTGTTTTTATAAATCATAGACAAAAATGGATCAATATTGTCATTGGAAGTTATCTAAACTAGATCAACATTGAAAACTTGAAAGTATTGGATAACTATTTCGTCCTAGTATAGGACTGTTAGCAGTACGTATCCGCGATTCTGTACATAAAACTCTGGGGTTTTAATGGTGGTCTAACTTAGATCGACTAATGAATGATAATCATGATGTTGTCACTAGTGACTAGGTTCAAGATGGATTTCCTAAAATTCTAGTGAGAAACCGTGACCAGTGAAGTTCAATCTGTTGGGTGTGAGACATTTATCCACCTTAAATTATGGATGAAGGGTTGCACGAGATCATGGATCGATTGAAGTTAGAGATTAACATCATTAAATGCCGACTCAGTGGCCAACAGGTCCAGTGTTCATGAGAGAGATCGAAGGTTCTTGATTGGATTCTCATGTGTGGGATAATGGATGTACACTGTTGAGTCGCCCCCTGCAAGGGTGAAACAGTTTTCCAGTGTGTGTAGTTTTCCAATGGTGGTTGACATACAAGCTTAAATCATATGACAGATTATCAGTGAATGTGTGAATAAATGACAGAAGTTAATTCTAAACTGACTATCTATTGTTTTATTCAGTTTTTGGTTGAGATCATGAACCGATTGATGTTAGACCACCATTGAAAACTTATTGTGGGACTCCTCATCAGTGGAAATCCACAATCTCGCTTGCAGGATTCGAGCCCGGGGCTATCAGTCCCGCGGGTGAACGCCTAACCTCTAGACCACTTAGCCGGCCGGCCGGTCATCCTTAAAATTCAAAGCTCTCAAATGTATTCAAAGGGGTATACGGTAGAGGTCTATATAATCGACTCAGCAGGTATCAGAAAGCGAAAAGCCGAGAGTAGAAATCATTGTTTGATAACCAAACGGCCCTCGGAGTGTATCTGTAAGCTGCCTTCTTTCTACAACTTTGTAATACATTCACTCATAGGGATTTTCTATGATGGCGAACTTTTTAGAGACGTCATATTTTAGACGAATATTCTACTAGGATTACTTTTCTACACTATTAAGTGCTCTCTCATAGTCAAAGTAGTGGATGTATGGTGATACCTTCCACTCAATTGATGGTCCAACGACAATTCGCAGTGTATCGATTTCCGCGGTACATGGTCGGTCGCTACGAAAGCTAGCTTGTTGGTCTCCAGATTAGGATTCTACAAATATTTCACCAGGTTAAGCAGCATTCCATGGAAGTTTGCTTGGTAATGACATTAGTGTGATGCGTCAGCCTCTCATCAAACTGGCCTTTATCATCTTTGCTGCTACAATTGGTGGGTGCATAGCATTGGATAACGTTTAGTGTATTGCTTTCGCCTTGGTTTTGAAAGATCTTTAATGATCATGAGACCTTCAGTGTCCCATCGCATTAGCACTTTTTGTGGGTCTTTGAGAAGTATCAGTAGAATTCCTTGTGTTAAGGTGGAATTTTCTCCTCCGCGACCAGAGTACAACATTTTTTCATGAAGTTAGTTTTTTCTGTCCGTATTGTGTCTGGTGTGTTTCTCTCATTCCAGGCAGATCAAAGTAGTATCTCCTCATATCCACCGTGATTTTAATAACCCTTTTTGTGTCTCATATTCGGTCAATCAGTCAGGTACAACGTAGGACTAGGCACATATATACATCAGTCTAAGTTGCTACATCACATTAGCACAACAAGATGAACACCAAATTCATAGAAGTGGTTAATTGAATGGTAGTAATATATAAAAGAAAGATTTTGTGTAAGGATATAGTACAGGAAGAAAGATATAAAACAATTTTAAGGGAAGACTGAGTGTATAGGCCTAGGCCATTGTAATCGGTTCTGAGCCATATCACTCAGAGTCTCCAACCATTGGTTACGATAGTCACGCGGACCCCAATCGAGTATTCTGCATCTACCAAGATGGCTAAGACTAGAAGTTAGATACTTCAAGGATTGATGTCACGTTTTGTATCTCATAATGCTCATACATTATATTTCCCTATGTTTAATATTACTCTAGTTTTCAGAAGGATCTTTAGCTTCATGGCTTTTGAAGTATCTAGGCTTTTACCGTGAGATCTCATAAATCTTCTGTATGAATATCCTTTGAAAGAATTCAAATGGACTGATTAGTTCATTCTGATTAACCTTTATTACTGAGGGTTTTTATTTACGAAGTAGGTTTACTAACCCTAAGCTAAACTCTTCCCGTTTGCACAAACTTAGGATTGACCGCAATCTACAAGGGATTCTAGGATACGTTAGAATCTACAGACAATATTGAAGACATAATTACATATCAATAAATCTAGTAAAAAAACACATACATAGTTACAAATGAATGTGTAAATGAATATGCTTTATCTTATTTCGGAGAAATATTTCATAATCATTTTATCTGTTAAGCAAAAATGGGTAGCGGCTAGCACTGAAATCCAGGACACGCATTTCATCCTATTTGGGACTCGCCAGTTGAATGTACTTACATTCCAGATTTGATGTTCACTCCGTAACTCGTACCCAACTCTGGAATGAAGGTACATCAATCTGACGAGTCCAAAATAGGACAAAATACACATCCTAGATTCCATTGCTAATCACAACCATCCATCTTTGCTTAAAATACTTGTAACTTAATGTTATATCGAGGCAATCCACACAGGATGCACGCATGGCAACAAGAAACGAATCGATTGCATCCCTTAACAACAAAAAGATGATACAAGAAAAAAACAATATCAAGTGAATTTTATCTGTTAGTAATAAACTTTGAAATTATTTCTATATTACTGCCGAATATAAAAATAAATTATCCAACATGTGATTTTGTTCATACAGATGACAACAATAATGAAATGTGCAGCTTTTTTTTTAAATTTAGAATTACATAATTGTCTGTTTATCGATCACATGATGATTATGAAACCGATGGATACTATGATGATAAAAAGATTTGACAGGACTATCATTTATGAATGAACCAATCAGGTATCAAATAACAGATCTTGGATTTTGGCGCGAAGTTCATCCATACATTTGGCTAAATAGCATTATAGGTGATGTCAGTTCATGATGAAAACCCTAATTGTAATTCCTAACCTTAATCATCAACTATAAATCATAATTTTAATTCCTCACACACTAATTTATAACCTTCATTTGGTCCTAGTGATTAGGTGGACACTCTCAAGGTCAGTCTAGCGCTGTTCAAAGGTCGTTCATAAATCATAGTCTCACCGAATATTTTATCTAGTGGTTAAGTGCTCACGCGCGAAGCCAGTAGGTCCTGGGTTCGAGCCCCGCGTGGTGCGGGATCGTGGATGCGCACTGCTGAGGAGTCCCATACCAGGACGAAACGGCCGTCCAGTGCTTCCAGGTTTTCAATGGTGGTCCAGCTTCAACTGACTCATGATTTTAAACTGTGTAATTATTATAGGTTGTGCTATTTTGAAAAGATTACAAGTTCATCTAATCTGAGAACTGAATGCAGATTCTGTGACATAATGACCAATAAGTTAGCTATTCCAATGCGTTCCAACTCAGCTAACTAAAGAGATCAGTCCAAGTTCAGAAGAGAGAAATATATTCCACAAACAGTTAGAAGCATGAACAATAACGATAAACACAACGCAAGCGTATATATACGGTATAAAAATGTCCTCGGGAAACGATAAAAAGTAGAATACTAAAAGAGACTATGAAACAACAGCATTTAAGGTCTTCATAAATGGGAAATACGACATGAATATGAAAATAGGTGCTTTTGGCGCGAAAACAAGAAATTCACATTTCTAAATTAGAATTACAGAAATAAAGCATTTAGTTAGTAAGTGCTGAGATCTGATTGTCTAGATTGATATCATAAATGGATTAACATTAGACTACCATCAAAAAGCTAGAAGCACTGAACAGATGTTTTGTCTTTGTTATATTTGGTCGTCGTTGATTGCTGTGCCGGAAAACGCTGATCATATATACTCGTAACGAGGAACCTCTGCAATTCCCACGATGCGAAAGTAAGAACAAAAGACTGGTATAAGTGAAGATTTATTAGCCCCCAAACACTATAACGACGACGAATCGAATCTCGTCTAAACTACACTGGTCTATATATTGATTGTACACCCATTTTGATTAATAATTAGGATTAAATCACATACTCAGTTATAATAAATCACTTACTGAGCATAGTTCATGTCAAGTGAATACAAGAATATCGCTTATTATACACAAGAAAATATCATACTGGGAAAACACAATCAAATACTACACTGAATGATCCTCACGTTGAATCAAAACGGATGTTGAATGTTGAATAAAACTCATAATGAGTAAATCAATCGAAAATGGACTTTTCTTTCCATCCTATCAGTCTTAGTATGGGATTCCTTAGTCGTGAGCATCCACAATCCCGCACTCGGAACTCGAACCCAGGACCGAGAATTGTGATTAACCTAAATAAAATATTTCACATTATACCGTTAATATCAGTTCTACATTTAGATTTTATTAGTAAAATATAAAAACACCGATTATTTTATATGTTAAGATAGTTTGAAGATAATTGCTTACTTACTTACTCCTGTTACTCATCGTGAAGGAGCATTGGCCGCTCACCAGCATTCTCCATCCAACCCTGTCCTGGGCAATCCTTTCCAGCTCCTTACAGTTCCTATTC